TATAGCAGTGACACACAGCACCACAGATAGAGTGGAGGCCCAAAGTGACCTAAGTCACAGAGCACTGGCCGTTCCTTTAAACTGAAACTAACTACGTTTTGAGAGAATAAAGCAATTTAAAGAGAGAGAGAGAGATTAAGGAGCCCAGTATCCTGAAGCAAAACCTCTGTTCAAAGAAGCAGCTTGTTAGATCCCTTACTGGGCTGGGCCCAGCAGGTTCCCCTGTGCTGAGAAGTTGTTTGTTTATTTTGCACAGGTCCTAGCAGGCCACAGGGGGAATTTCTGGGTTTGCAATTAGAGTGGGCAGTAGGGAGTCAAGAGCTCTGAGTGCTGTTGTCATTTGTAAAGCACTTATTGACTCCTTCGCTCCCTTCCCTACCAGCTGATGTGTCTCGGCCTCTCTATCAGTCACATATAAATAAGAATTAGTGCCTCACAAATTTCTAAGATTCATTCATTAAGATGTGTCTGTATACAATAGTGGGAGGGAGGGGCTACATAGACTATACGGGATGCTAAATGGGAGGGGCAGTGAAAAAGAGGACTGCCCTGGACAAGATGGATTGGCACAGTGGCGGCAATAATGGGCTTAAACATGAAAGCAATTGTGAGGATGGCACAGGACCAAGCGGCTTTCCCTTCTGTTGTACATAGGTTCTCTATGACTCAGCACCAACTTGTTGGCATCTGACAACAACGGCAATCTTAATTTGGTTCCTTTGCTTGAAATATGTATTCATTTGCAATAAACAGATTCACGGGTTAATGTCAAGCAAACAGCACTCTTTCAAATGTCAGGAGAGTTGAGGTCCATTGGTAAATGTCAGAAACATGACATAGCACACACATATTCTGCTAGCCCTAGGTGAACCAAGAACTTCAAAACCAAGAATAAGTGGACTGTGTAGAAGACCACTTGAACTCAAAAAGATAAGATGAAAGATTAAGAAGAGTAAGATGGAGTCAAGACTTTGTCTGCATTTGTCAGAAGAAAATAAGACACATGCCCATGCACAGCTTAGCAGAACCAAAGTCAAGAGAGTGTCAGCCTGCATCTTCTGAACTTCTACTGTCTCTGATGCGCTGAGCTCAGTCTTGGATTAAAAGAGTGATTCAAACAGACATAGCCTCTTCTGTCCTGGAGTTAATAATGCTCCTTCTAGTCAGTCCTACTGGGGAAGGATACTGAAAGGACCATGGACTGCCGAAGAGCAGACAAACCTGTCTTGAAAGAAGTACAGCCAGAATGCTCCTTCGAGGCCAAGATGGTAAGACACCAGCTCACATAGTTTGGGCAGGTTAACAGGAGCTCCTCAGGCGTTCCTGGAGAAGGACATCATGCTTCGGAGAGGAAGGGCTTTGACAAGATGGATCGACACAATGGCTGCCACAATGGACTCAAGCTCAGGAACAATTGTGAGGGTGCCCCAGGACCCATTCGGATGTGCATAGGGCTGCTCTGAGGCAGGACTGCCTCCCCAGCACCTGCCAACAATGCATTTCCACACAGGGGGTTCCTGGTGGCTAGGCACTGGCTCCTGCGGCCAGACCAAACCACGCGATGGAGGGTGACGTTTCCTTAACTTGATGCGGACGCTCACACTGGGGCGGGTAAAGCAGCAGAGCTGCCCTACAGAGCAGGAGCCCTCTCAAATCTGACCTGGAGGGCTCATCTGGTGGACAATTTGGCCTTTTCCCTGTTTTCTCTGGGATGATGGCGGTAATTAGGTGTTGTTGAAGGTTTGTGGTTGCCGTGGTTGTATTTTTAAATTTCCCTTTACACCATGAAATCTATTTACTACCAACTCTTGAAGAAAAACTGGTATGTTAGGCTAACGTGGCACGATAGTATTGTGCGGAATAACCGCATGGATGAATTTTAAACAAAAAATGCGGCTGGCTCCCCCCGCCGCACCCCACCTCTTTCCTGGAGCCTGCATGATTTAGGGGAGGCCGTCTGCATGTGCTGCCCGTCTGCAGCAGCAGCAGAGGAAGCTGCTCTCTCCTGGTGGAGCCGGAGAGGTCCCCACCTTTCCCAGAAGCAGGCCACACAGAGAAGCGGCCGTGCGGGGAATGAGAAGCAAAACTTCCTTCGGAAACACTAGTGAAGGGGACGGAATGGAAGAACCGAAGCGAGAAGGTTAAGGCTATTGGGAAGAAGATGGGCAGTGGTGGGTCAGAGCATCTCAATCCAGAGAGGAAGGGGCGTCTGTGGCCTGCGGGTAGGTCTCAGGAAGAACAGAGAACGGTAGAGTGAGAGCGGCATCCCAGAGCCTGAAGGGAGAACGATTATTTTCGAAGCGGGAGTAGGTCCGCCTAAGTTTCAGGATGTGTCTCGGGGAATGGTGGCTGAAGTAGAGGTCATCACCGGAAACCAATGTGGCAGAGAAATAAGGTCACTGGAATATGGGTGGCCATCGACAGAAAGATGGTGAGGACGCCAAAGTCCGCAATGACTCAAAGGCAGTGGTGGTGAAAGGACAGCAGCTGACAGCAACTAGAGACCGGGAACAGCATCGCTAACGGAAACAGTCCCCGTCGGTGTAATAGGGCAGAAGAGAAATGACCAGAAATTAACGTTTTGGAACAAATAGACTTTTCATTCAGTAATAGAAGCCACACTAGTTGTCGTGCTAGGTTTGTATTTCTAACTCTTTTCTTTTAGAAGGGAGACGTCGGACAGGGCAGGGTATGACAAAATAAACAATTTATAAATTATTAAGGGCTCATGAGGGAGGGGGGAGCGGGGAGGGAGGGGGAAAAAAATGAGGACCCGATGCCGGGGGCTTAAGTGGAGAGCAAATGTTTTGAGAATGACGAGGGTAATGAATGTACAAATGTGCTTTACACAATTGATGTATGTATGGATTGTGATAAGAATCCTATGCGCCCCTAATAAAACGCTTTAAAAAAAAAAGAAAATTGTAAATAGACTCATGCGTTAGTTGTAAAAGAATCCCCAAAGCCTAAACCCACTGATTTCGAGTTGATTCTAACTCACAGTGACCCTTCAAGACAGAGCAGAACTGCTCACAGGGTATCCAAGGCTGAGCATCTTGATAGCAGGAGCCTGCTGCACCTTTCTCCCAAGGAGGGTCTAGTAGGGTTAAGCTTCCCGCCATTCTGCAATCAGTCCAATACTTAACCCACTTCACCACTCCAAAAACTCACTGCATCGAGGCCATGCTGACTCAGAGTGACCCCTCTGGGTTTCCAAGGCTGTAACTATTGATGGGAGTAGAAAGCCCAGTCTTTCTCCCGTGGAGCTATTAGTGGTTTCAAATTGCTGACCATGCAGACTGTAGTCCAAAGCGTAACCACTACGCCACCAGAGCTCCATTAGGATTCTTTATAAATTAGTTGTGGTGTGTGGTGTATGCTCTTGCTTATACTTTAAGCCTGGCCCTCTGTCTTTAGAGTTTACCCTGATTTTAGGCTCTCCACCATTCTGTTATGTGCTTGGCAGAGTGGCATGCTTCCTTCCACAGCCACGAAGTATGTTTAACATTATGACAAACTAATGCACATGTAATAATGTAATAAGAGCCACACCCAGGTTCTTATGACTCACCGTTCCTAGGAAACATTGGGAGATATTTACTCACTCATAGCTAAGTGAATCAATGTTGTATTATTTTATTATTATTAACTCGTGTGATTATAACTAGTGTATATGCAAACTCTGAAACCAAAAGTTCTGATGAAAAGAAAAAGAGTTGAACAAATCTCTGCTTTTAGAAATTCCAGTAGTTTATCTCTTCTTTCAGTACATTTAGTGCGTGCATCCTTGATGTCATATACTGCATCTATCACTTGTTAGAGATAGGAAAATGATTAGTCCCTAATCTTTATCCTTGAGACACCGTGTGGGTTAGTGTCACGATCAGATAGTCACAGATTCTTGGTAAGGGCTGTGATAAAATTGTGGCAGGAAGGTTGGGAGAAACTTCATGAAGCTGAAAATAGTTAACCTAGACCCTGAAATAAGAGGAGTTAGGTAGAATATATGGGAAAGGCATCTCTTTACACGTGTTTGGTGATAATACCTAAAATATTTCCTACTGGAGTTATCAATTAGGCAATTGAGTGAATACAATTGGAATTCTGGTGAGTGATCAGATTGTACCTATAATTGGGGAACCATAGCATCTAATGCCACGAGACTGGGTGTCATAAAAAATGCAACATGGACATGGAGATGGACATTTCAAGGACTGAGATGAGAATCTTCTCTTTAGAGTTGAGGGAATTGAAGAGGAGCCAGGAAAGCCAGAGTCTGTGATATAAAAATTTAAAAACCGAGACATTTGCTGTTGTCAGGGCAAGCGATGAAAGCCAAGAAATTACCATTAATGAAAAGAGCATTAGTGACTATCATCCAAGCAATTAGAATGGAGTAATGGGGTAAGAGCTTGGCTAGAATGGGTTCAGGAATGAACAGGAGCAAAGAATTAGACCCAATGTTTACATACATATACAAATCCTTTAATGACTTCTAAGGGAAGGAGAAAAGGGTAGGTGGTTGAAGACAAGAGATTTCTATTTGTTTTTTAAGATAAGATTAATCTCCAATAAGGCAAAAAAATTAATGATGCCTATAAGGTGCATGGTGATTGCTAGAAGAAAGTCTTAGAGTGGGAGACACGGGTGCGGTGCGATCCAGTGCACCTGGAGAGCCTTGTCCTGGATCCACCTGAAGACCCCGTGTGCGACCTCCACACCTGACACCTGCCTGTCTGGACAATGCAGTTGACATCACTGACCCGTCACATTGTAAGACTTCCGTTGGAAACACGAGCTCACTACCAACTTCTGGTTTTTCCTCTCTGTAAGCCATCTAAAGATGTTATCCGTAATTGGTAGAAATTTGAGGAAATGATGTGTTCTGGAAATAACAGTAAGTTGCTGGTTTGGAATGAAAAAAAAAATCTAAATTGGCTTCAAATTGCATCATCCGCACAAGAACTGCTTACCGTTTTTGTTTTGTTTTGTTTTTTCCCCACAGGGCTACCTGCTTCAGAGCCTGCAGCCTGCGGGCAACAAGGCCAGGCAATGGTTCAGGGTGATACTTTTCTCTGCCATGGGGCGCTATGAGACCCACGGGGATGGCATGCCATACATCCAAATACATGGCCCCAATTCTTCTTCTGTAGGCCACATCATTTCAGCTCTTAGACTAAGACTGCCGGCATCTCTCAAAGCGGCTGAGTTGTCTGGCAAGTGCGTACTGATGTCATCCCAGCGGTCTAATTCTGAGAGTCCTCGTCGTAAACTGAAGGCTGCACTCCCTTATTTGTGGAGCAGCACATCAGCCAGAAGCACAGGCATTAGTTCAGGCACACTGGGTACACGGGTGGAGTGGCTGCAGCCCTTGGTCACCCCGCAGGGTTTGCTTTTTTCTAGAAGGAAGACTCCCTGTGGTCACCATGCCCCTGCTCTATCCACCAGACGCAACTGGTGTCAAAGAATCTGAATTCCTGGTCCCAATGGGCCGCACAATAAATGCATGAACAGCGGTTCGGTCTATCACCTAGACCATGTCTGGCTCCATCAGACCCCGTACCTTGTACAGCCAGAATGCCTTAGGTGTGAGGATCAAATAGAACAGACCCTTCCCTGGAGAAGGTGAAACAGAAGGCCAGCCAAGGAGATCAAGACTGTCAACGAGAGGTGATGAGTGACTGCAACATGGAATTCGGGCATCGTAATGACCGTGAGCGTGGCACAGGGCCAGGCAGGGACACTTTTGGCTGTAAATCAGCGTCCTTAGGATTCAGAACCGACTTGACAGTACTTCACAGCATTGCCAGCGCCCTCAGATCTTTCCCTTTGAATCCGCATTTTGTTAAGTGACCTTCTGAACACATGGGAGGAGGATCTGAAGGTACACTCTTTGAGCTCACAAGCTCATTGTTGTTCCAGAGGACAAGCGCTGGTACTCTTCCCTGTGTGCTAGGCAGAAGTTCTCTGTAAGATCCCAGTCTCCAAGCATTGAAAAGAAAAGAACTAGGCCATCGTTTATTGTATTTGCGTTTTGAGGAGACAAGGTGAAAGAATATTCAACCGATGCGTCTGTTCCCTACTTTTCATGGACGTATCTTCCGTTATTTCCAAGTGTCTGGCCCAATGGGAAGGAACGTCAAGCCTGCTCACAAATACTGACTGAAACAGGAGTCTCTGTCCTTAAGGAATGTAAGTAGTAAATTCCTTAAAATTTTACATGGTGACTTTTGGTTTAAAAGGGTGACATAAATACTCGAGCTTATTTCTACCCTTTCCCAATGCCACCAAAATGACTATAAAGGAATTTTCAGGGAAACAAAAAACAAAATTTTTAGGAAAACAAAACAAAACATGAAAGCACCAAAAAGAATGATAGTGGGTTAGGAGTGGCTGAACAGGTGGCTGATGTAAGAGAGACGAGAGAGCTACAAGGAGCCCTGCTGGCACCTGGCCGCTAACTGAAAGGCTAGTGGTTCGAATGCACTGGACGCTGTGAGCGTCTGCTTTTGTAAAAGCCACAGCCTGGGAAGAGCTATGGGGAAGTTCGACTGTGGGACACACTTGCTCTGCGTCCAAATGAACTGGACGGGAAGGGGTGCGGCGCTAAAGCCTACCTGCCTGCAGGGGGAGCAGTCAGTCAGGCTGTGTTGCAGAATTACGAACTCCGTGGCTATTGGTAATAAGAGTTAAGAAATAGCACAGAGCCATGCTAGAAGCATTAAGTAAGTATCCTACTTTCCCTAAAGAAGGCTCTTGGGAGAGTCTAAGAACCCTTCAGGCTGACAGCCAAGGGAGAACTCGACTTGGATCAGGCAGGTGGAGAGGGCATTCCTTGGGAATGAGCCAGGATGCAGGCGTGGCACAGCACAGCATTATCAGAGGCCAGCGAGGGAGGAAATTTGGCCAGGGGCTAGCAGGCCGTGCGGATCCATAAACAAAACTAGTGAGCGCAAGACAAGAACAGTCTGAGAATAACTTAGGAGACAGGCTAAGAAGCCTGGACTTCACTGTGCACATGGGAAGCCTCGTGGAGCCTGGGAAGGCTTCTTCCAGACGCCGGGCACACTGAGCGGGGATGAAGAGGTGGGAAGAACGGACAAAGAGTGAGGGTGACACTTGGATGGGGGATATTCTATCTAAACGAGACAGGGTGTTGTGAGCATGCAAAGAGAGGGCTGGACCCAGGCCAGCAAGAGCCAGCAGAGCCTGCACACAATCTGCATGTTGTGTTCTCTGTGAAGGAGAGATGTGTTTAAAATCATCAGTGTCTGCTCTGTTGGTGTTGCACTATGCCAGGAAAGAGGCAAAGATAAGCTAGACATTAGACTCAGCTCAATAAATTCAAATATTGCTGAGACTTAGGCTTGTGCTCTGATTAACCTATCCATGCCAGAGGAGACTGAGTCCCAGCAAGATGACAAGTGCAGATGATTTGGTGTCTAGAAAGGAGAGGCAAGTAGTATCGCAGAAGACTTGGAGGAAAGGAAAAGTTTTCAGCAGTGACTGCAATTAGTGCTTGAAATAAATTACTTTCTTTAGAGTTGATCATTTGACTTTAGAATGTACAATTTACCCCAGGGAAATGCTCATCATTTAGGCTTTTATTTGACAACTGAAAGAAAAGTGGTAGAAAAACATTTACCATTAATGAATACGTCTGGGAATTATCAAGGAAGCATTTAGCTTAATTATGCACCAACAAATATAAGGCAATGCGTGTAGAAGATGGGGACGATTTAAGAACTACCAGAATGGTACAGATTGGAACTGGAAACACAGGGAATCCAGGGTGGTTGATCCCTTCAGGATCAGCGGTGTGAATGGTGATACTGGGAGGGTGGAAAGAGGGTTGGATGGAAAGGGGGAACCGATTACAGGGATCTACATGTGACCTCGTCCCTGGGGGACAGACAACAGAAAAGTGGGTGAAGGGTAACGTCGGACAGGGCAAGATATGACAAAATAATAATTTATAAATTACCAAGTGTTCATGAGGAAGGGGGGAGCGGGGAGGGAGGGGAAAAATGAGGAACTGAAGCCAGGGGCTTAGGTGGAGAGCAAATGTTTTGAGAATGATGCGGGCAATGAATGTACAAATGTGCTTTACACCATTGATGTATGTATGGATTGTGATAAGAGTTGTATGAGCCCCTAATAAAATGATTTAAAAAAGAACAATAAAAAAAGAGTTGTACAAGCCCCCAGTAAAATGATTTATTAAAAATGAAAATTTACACGCACACAAAAGAACCAGAATCAGCGTTTAAATTTTGGCTTTGCCACCTGTGTCTTTGGGTCCAATCATTTTTCCTTTTGAGCTTCTTTGGTACCACGTGACAGTAGATGTAGTATTTACTCATGGCACTGAAGTAATGACTAAGCAAGGGTATGACCTAGCCGAGAGTAGCATATTATAGACGCTCCTTACCTGCAAATGTCCTCTTTCTTCTCTCTCACTCTTTGCAATCCTAATAACTTCATGTAACTCTAGTTCTAAATTGCAAGATCATAAATCAAGGCAAACAAATTACAGATGTGACTACAGTGGAGGTAGGGATAGAGGCCAATTTTTAACCAAATCTGAGACTTTGTAGAAGGACCTATCATTGCCAGATGACTAATTTTGGGGATGGAGAAGGAATAAGAAACAAAACTAAATGATTTTAACACTTAGCATCTTGAAATGTTTATATTTATATTAATATATTTTTCCACGCCTAGGTTAGGACATGCCCCATGTCTCCCTTTGACGTGTCAGAGTTCTTTCTTTCTTTTAAGAAAAACTTTTTATGGTGAATCAGGTAAATTAAAAAAAAATTTTTTATGGTGAAGTAGGTTTACACAGCAGATTATAAAATAGTTTTACACTCAATGACATGCCCGTTTTAGAGATTACATGAAAAGTGGTCTTGGTATATGTCCATCATTGTCATTAATTATTGCTAATATTTATTGAGTATTTATTGTGGACTAAGCAATGTGCCTAATGCTTCACATATCGATCTCACCAATTCATCACAAAACTCTGCAAGATACCTCACATGATCACACTTGCTTTCTCAACGAGGACTCTGTGGCACAGCCGTTGAATTCCAGGGACAGAGGGTGCAAGAGAGAGACCAACTCAGAGTGTGAGCCCGAAGTCGGATTTCTAAGACCCAGCTCTCAGTCCCTGGGCTGGGTTGCCTCCCATCACACTGTACACACAACACACATACACCACGCAGACGTGCACACATTTCCTGGCTCCTATCTTTTCTTCCTTCAATTTAGAAACAAAATTTTACAGCTATCTCATGAAATTAGGACTCAGAAAGGAGCAATTTTCTTTGCAGGTCAGGTATTCCAGCTTGCTTTTCTCACACATGGAGAAGCCAGGTGTGCAGCCAGGTGCCATCTTTCCAAGTAAAAATTGTCCCATGGTATTAGCCACTCTTCTAGATAGTGCTAATCCATTACCTAGTGGGGAGGAATTACTATATCTCCTGCAGTGCTCTGATACCTTGACTAATAAACTCTTGGTGAATATAATCATTTAAGATGAAATGGGGGTACTTCATGGCTACTGAGGACACCAAAATCAATTAGCATAACAGTCCACAAAGACAATGTTCTATCTCCTACTTTGGTGAGTAGTGACTGGGGTCATCGATGCTTCTGGGAAGCCATCTGAAGTGCAAATATTGATCGCTTCCTGCCTGGAGTAAAGAACACTAAAGCCTATCAAGCCCACTGCCACTGACTTCATTCTGATTCAAAGCAACCTTATAGGGCAGATTAGAATTGCTCCCCAAGGTTTCCAAGGTGGTAAATCTTGATGAGAACAGAAAGCCTCATCTTTCTCCCCAAAGGGGCTGCTGGATTTGAACTGCTAACCTTTGGGTTAGCTGCTCAAAGCAGAGTTTTTCTGCCCCAGCAAGGCTTCTAAAAGAAAATCAAAGGGACATTGAAATGATCCATCCAAAGGACTCACGGACCTCCCAAACCTCAGCCTCCACAAGCTAGACATGAAAAGACAGTGACCCCCGCTGACCGTGGAGATTCATGGATAGAGTGGAGAACAATGTGGAACAGAACTCAAAACCACGAGAAAGACCAGGCTTACTTACTTCACAGGCAAGTGAACCTCA